TCCAGTACAACTAGCTGGCGCCCGGCTACCACCACTGACTGCTCTGACAGGGATCACAATGGAGGGTCCCGGACAGAGCTGGGGAAAAATGTAGAACAAAATTCTAACTCAAAAAAAAGGACCAGACTTACTGGTCTGACAGACACTGGAGAAACCCTGAGAGTATGGCCTCCGGACACCCTTTTAGCTCAGTAAAAAGTCACTCCCGAGGTTCACCTTTTGGCCAAAGATTAGACAGACCCATAGGACAAAATGAGACTAAAGGGGCACATCAGCCCAGGGACAATGACTAGAAGGCAGGAGGGGACAGTAAATCTGGTAACAGGGAACCCAAGTTCGAGAAGGGAGACTACTGATATGTCATGGGGTTGTTAACCAATGTCATAAAACAACATATGTACTAACTGTTTAATGAGAAGCTGGTTGGTTCTGTAAACCTTTGTCAAAAGTACAATAAAATATATAAAATAAATAATTACAAATAGCCCTCCTACTTTTACATTTTTTTCCTTTCATCCATATTGCCTGTATCTAGACAAACCAAACCAAAACCCAACTCGTTGCCTTCAAGTCAATTCTGACTCAAAACAACCCTATAGGACTGAGTAGAACTGCCCCATAGGGTTTCTAAGGAGTGGTTGGTGGATTCGAACTGCTGACCCTCTGGGTAGCAGCCAAATGCTTATCCACTAGGCAGCTGGACATAATTTTTGACAGCTCTGGAAATGTAAATAGAGCCAGCAGTGGGTGCCAGAGAAATCTCTCCCCTAATCTTTGATGAGTGAGGGTTTATGTACTTTAAGACTGGTGATAATTGCATAGGCAAAACTTGGCACAATTGTAATCAAGATCTCTTGGGCAAGCTTGTGCTAATCTTGATCAGTTTTAAATTATTTTAAGGCTCTTGTGGCTTTCCCTATGAGGAGTTGCCCCAGCTTGATCCAGACACCTTCTGTTTGCTTCCATCTCTGAATGTCCTTATCCTGATCTCTAATCCATGTTGTTACCTTAGTGCAGGCATAAGGTTCCTTATAACTTCCTCTTTTGTTTTATTTTTATTTTGAGAAAATTATAAAGAACAATGAGCAGACATTCAAATTGGCCCATTAATATTTTGTCATATTTACTTCGCTTTTTTTTTCCTGAAAACCAAACAGTTCAGATATAGCTTGAGCTAACACCCAGATCAGATTATGAAATCGAACTTACATGAATCAGATATCTTACCCAGCACCAAGCTTTACTAATAATTTCAAAGGTATCAGTCATCGAGAAGGATTCCTGGTAGCACAATGGTTAGATGCTCGGCTGCTAATTGAAAAGTCGGCAGGTCTAACCCACCAGTGACTCCACAGGAGAAAAGACCTGGCGATCTGCTTCCATAAAGATTGGAGCCTAGGAAACCCTATGGGGCAGTTCTACTCTGTCCTATGAGGTCTCCGTGAGTCAGAATCAACTGGACGACACACAATAACAGGTCATCTACAGGCTCAGACAAAGCAGAGAGCCAGCCAGTTTCCATCAAGTCAATTCCAACTTATGGTGACCCCATGTGTGCGCAGAGCAGCACTGCATTCCATAAGGTTTTCATGGCTGTGACTTTTTGGAAGCACATTGCCAGGTCTTTCTTCCTAGGTGTCCTCTGTTTGAATATTTTTCACCTCAGCTTTCATTCATGACATGCTCGATAAAATTTCGTCAACATAACCCCTTTGTTATCCAAAAGTCAAACGTCATCCCTTCTACGTTGGAAAAACCACCCAACCTCATCATTTCGTGAGGCAGGCCTGCACTGTATTGATTTCCAGCAGTAAGCGGATACCCATCTGCTTCATTTGAGGTTTAACTTCATGTTGGGTTTAAAACTAAAAAGCTGGTTGCTTAGATGATCCATTTAAATTTTCCTTGACACCTTTGGTCTCCTTTTCAGGTCTGTGATTTTAGAAAAACTTGTGAACTCAGTGTTCTATGTTTAATTCTGGTCATGGGTGAAATTGTGAAAGCATGATATTTATCTTGGCCTTCCCATTTCCCGGGTTAATTACGTTTCCTCCAACCTTGTTGCAAACCTAAGATGCTTTCCACCTGCCTACAACCAAACCTCAGGTGTCTCTACTAAGATGAAAACTGGAATTTAGGAATAAGTATAGAAAGACTTCAAGTGTGTGGGGAAGATCACTTCCTCTCAAAGATATTCAGGAGACTAGTAGGGGGGCTCTCTAAACATCAAGTCTTAAAGACTCAAAGGGTTGGAGTTACAACAAAGGAATAACTGAAAAGTGGAGTTTTTTGAGAGGGAGGTAACCCTGCCCTGTGCCCACGTCACATAGTCTGCATGGAAGCATTTTAACTTTATGTTAACAAACCATAGTGACTCATAATTTATGATTATTAACCTTTATTAACCTAATAACATTTAAAAACAGTACTTTTAGCAAAGGTAACATTTATTTCCATATATTGCTTCCTACATTTTTCTTACCATCGTTTTATGTAACAACATGCCAAAATCTATCTCTTAGGCACTTTAGTAATAGTGTATGTTCTTCAGACATGAAACTTCCTTTTGGGTAACATGTAACATTCAAATATCTGCTGGCAATACACTTCAATGAAATATTCATGACATTTAGGAATAGTAATGCCAAATCCCGACAGCCCTGGGTGGAAAAAACATATACAAAACCAGAACAACATTACTAGTCAAGCACACGATAGCTAATAGCCATTTACCTTAAAATAGTGTTGCAAGTGGATTCAGAAAGAGTTTAAAAATATTTGTAGATCAAAGGAAAGGGGTCAAAGGCTGAACTGAACATGCAAGCACTACATTAGCTAATAGCACTAAGTTAGCTAAGCCATAGTTAGGAAGCCTATGTAGAAATTGCTATTGTAATAGAAAATAAATTAAGGGCCCATTACTTCTATGATATTTTTCAGATAGGCAGCTGTCATGGATTGAATTATGTCCCCCCAAAAATGTGTGTATCGATTTGGCTGGGCCATAATTCCCGGTATTGTGTGGTTATCCTCAATTTTGTGATGGTAATTTTATGTTAAAGAAGATTAGGATGGGATTGTGACTCCTTTACTAAGGTCATATCCCTGATCCAATGTAAAAGCAGTTTCCCTGGGGTGTGGCCTGTACCACCTATTATCTTATAAGAGATAAAAGGAAAAGGAAGCAAGCGGAAGAGTTGGGAGACCTCATACCACCAAGAAAGAAGCACCAGGAGCAGAGCGCTTCCTTTGGACCCTGGGTTCCTGGGCAGAGAAGCTCCTAGTCCAGGGGAAGATTGACAAGAAGGACCTTCCTCCAGAGCCAACAGAGAGAGAAAGCATTTCCCTGGGCTGATGTCCTGAATTTGAACTTCTGGCCTACTAGACTGTGATAAAATAAATTTCTCTTTGTTAAAGATATCCACTTGTGCTATTTCTGTTACAGCAGCACTAGATAACTAAGACAGCAGCTCTCTAGCGTATTTTAAGTATGATTTGACATCAGGGTAAACACATCTGCCAGTGATGCTTTTTTTGTCTAAAATAAACTAAGAACTTCTCCTTGGGAACAATCTTCAGAATTTAGAGCACACTCTTGGGAATATCATTTCGGTGGCAAATCTCAATCCTTTGAAAATAGACTTAATGGTGGGGAGGAGATAGACAAAAGTCATGTGGCACCTCCTACAATACTTGGTACTTAGTAGGTGCTCTGTGAATATTGATTAAATATGATAATCAAGGAAGTAATATAATTTTGATTAAATAGAATGTGAGATTTCCTTGTGTGTCTCTTAAATGGAATACCCTTACACTTTGTGTTAGTTTGACTGTATGTGATTAAGTTTCCAGCACCTTCAACATGGCATGTCAGTGTGTATATAGAGTAAGTTTATTACAGAAACTTCCAAATTGATTGGAAGGAAGGTGATAACTATCTGTTCTATACGGGCTTACGCAGACCTCAGCTGGTTCTGCAGGCCAGAGTCAACAAGAATCTACTCCAATCGAACAAAAACAGTGCAAAGAGTCAGTCTGAAATTGGAACCCTCATCCACTGCTGATGGGAATACAAAATGGTACAACTGCTGTGGAAAACAGTTCCTCAAAAAGTTAAACATAAAAATGCCATATGACCTTGAAATCCCAATCCTAGGTATATATTCAAAGAATTGAAGGCAGGGACACAAACAGAAATTTGTACACCAATGTTCACTACAGCACTGTTAACAATAGCCAAAAGGTAGAAACAGTTTAAATGCCCATCAACAGATGAATGGAAAAATAAAATGTGATATATACCTACAGTAGAATATTAGCCATAAAGAGAAATGAAGTTCTGATACATGCTACAGCATGGATGTATCTTGAAAACATGCTGAGTCAAATAAGTCAGTCACAAAAGGACAAATATTCTATGGTCTCATCAGATGAAATAGACAAATGTACAGAGCCCAAAGCTTACTAGTGGTTACCAGGGGGAAGGAGGAGGAAATGAGAAGTCTTTGCTCAAATGGTACTGAGTTTTTGTTAATGGTGGTAGAATAATTTGGAAATGGACAGTGGTGATGGTTGTACAACATGATGAAAGTATCCAATGTCACTGAATGGTACATGTGAAGAATGTTGAAATAGCAAATATTTTGTTACATATATATTTGCCACGTATACACACAAAATGCTGAATTGGCATTTTTCCCACAATAAAACAATGTTTAAAAAAAACAGTTGATCTGATAAGTTAAATCTGATAAGCCCAAGTCTGGATCATGAGAAAATTCTATTTCCAAACTTATAAGTGATTAAGAGACAAGAGTTAATTTCAGAGGTGCATTATAAAAAGGAGGAGCCAAATCATTGTGGGCATTGTGAATGCTTTTGCTATCTAAAAGCTATCTGGAATTACTAACAAATATTTATTCATGAATACTGACCCAGTGGAACAAAGTGTTACTTCTCAGTCTAGGTTCCGCAAATATTTTGGTACCTAGGTCCTGGCAAGTGCCCTTTTCTTGTCCCACCATGATCATAATCACTGCTCCTCTTCTCTGAAAGGTTATAAAAAAAGATGAACTCAAGACTTCAGAGATTCCTGAAAGCTGGTATCAAAATTAGTATCCAGCAGTCAAAACTCTTCGCAAATGACTTCTCTGCTGGAAATAATCGTTTCCAACCTGCATCACAGGGAAATTCTCCTTTAGGTGTTTAGGAATGAATGATGAAGGTGATGAGTGTATTAGTCAAGATCACTTGGGAAAACTGTATTGTGGTTATGTTCTGAGCCCCTGAGTCATCCAACATTATTGGTCTACCTGTAGCGTGATTAGCAAGTGTAACCAATAATTTTTTTTTTTTTGGAATGCAGCATGTGGATTCCTTAACTCTACGATTTCTCACATCATAACAAAACCAGCTCAGCTATAAGACTTCCCCAAAGTGGAGCTGGTCTATTCCTCTGTTTACTTAGTTTCAAAGAGCAGGAAGCCTGCAAAGGTGGAGAAGCGCTGGTGGTCCCCGTGGAGAGCGCCATTGCCCATTCTTAGCCAAACTTCATCCCCTTTGGCCAGCTTCAGCACTGCATGGTTGCTGGAAGTGTCTGATTTCCCCTTTGTTTCATAGCTGGAAAGAAAAAGAGAGGGCACCAATTACTTAGTCTTTACAGTGGATAGTCAGCTTTTCACCAGAATCTGCTCTCCCTTTCTCTCCCAGACTCTCCTGCATTTACATATAGTCCTGTGATTAAGTTTTCTAAATGACATGTGGGCGGAAATGATGTGTGCTATTTCTAGGCCCAAAGGTGCCCTGGTGGCACAGTGGTTAAGCACTTGGCTGCTAACCAAAAGGTCGGTGGTTCGAACACACCTGCCAGTCCATGGGAGAAAAATGTGGCAGTCTGCTTCCGTAAAAATTACAGCCTCGGAAACCATATAGGGAAGTTCTACTCTGTCCTATGAGTGGGAATCAACTCGATGGCAACAGGTTTGTTTTTTGGTTCACTTGTAAACATTTTTAGTCCTATCTGATCATGACATAGGATGTATCTATCTGATTGAATGAGAAGTCTTAATGGGAAGCCAACAACATTACCTCTGCTTCTTAAGGTATAAAAGCACTTGGCCTTTCCAACACTGTTAGGCCCCAACTGTAGGCCTGGCCAATAAAACTCTCACAAATACCCCTCCATGTTCCTTTCCCATTATGAATGTCTAGGATGTTAATGACAATGGCCATCATGACCTTGGAAGTCATATATTGACACCTGGGTTCCAACACCTCTACAACAAAAAGACAAATAATCCAATTTAAAAATGGCCAAAGGTTACGAATAGACACTTCACCAATGAAGACATTCAGGCAGCTAACAGACACATGAGGAAATGCTCGAGATCACTAGCCATTAGAGAAATGCAAACCAAAACTACAATGAGATACCATCTCACCCAGACATTACTGGCATGAATCAAAAAAACAGAAAATAACAAACGTTGGAGAGGCTGCAGGGAGATTGGAAATCTTATGCACTGCTGGTGGGAATGTAAAATGGTACAACCATTTTGGAAAATGGTATGGCCCTTTCTTAAAAAGCTAGAAATAGAAACACCATATGATCCAGCAATCCTACTCCTAGGAATATACCCTAGAGAAATAAGAGCTGTCACATGAGTAGACGTATGCATATCCATGTTCACTGCAGCATTATTCACAATAGCAAAAAGTTGGAAACAACCTAAGTGCCCATCAACAGATGAATGGATAAACAAACTATGGTAGGTCCACACAATGGAATACTACGCAATGATAAACAACAATGATGAATCTGTGAAACATCTCACAACATGGATGAATCTGGAGGGCATTATGCTGAGTGAAATAAGTCAATCACAAAAGGACAAAGACTGTATGAGACCACCATTATAAAAACTCGTGAAAAGGTCTACACACAGAAAGAAACAATCTTTGATGGTTATGAGGGAGGGGAGGGATGGGGAGGGAAAAACACCAACTAGATAATAAATAAGTGGTAACTTTGGTGAAGGGTAAGACTGGGGAAGTTAGCACACCAGCCCAGGGGCAAGGACGAGAAGGCAGGAGGGGACAGGAAAGCTGATAACAGGGAACTCAAAGTCGAGGAGGGGAGAGTGTTGACACCCCCGTCATGGGTTGGCAACCGATGTCACAAAACAATATCTGTATTAATTGTTTGACAAGAAACTAATTTGCTCTGTAAACCTTCATTTAAAACACAATAAAAAAAAATGTTGCCTTTCTACTTAAACCTATTGTTCCAGAAGGCCTCATAGTAACCCCAAAACCCACTGCCGTCAAGTCAATTCTGACTCATAGAGGCTTTATAGGACAGAGCAGAGCTGCCCCATAGGGTTTTCAAGGCTGTAATCTTTACAGAAGCAGACTGCTACATCTTTCTCCTGTAGAGTGGGTTGGTGGGTTCAAATCGCTGACCTTTTGGTTAGCAGCTGAGCACTTAACCACTGTGCCACCAGGATAACTTGGCCTCCTGGTAAAAAACAAACTCATTGCCATTGAGTCGATTCCGACTTGTAGTGACCCTATACAACAGAGTAGAACTGCCCCATAGGGTTTCTAAGGAGCAGGTGGTGGATTCAAACTGCCAACCTTTTGGTTAGCAGCCAAGCTCTTAACCATTGCACCACCAGGAGCCCATGGCTTCATGGTAGCCACTATTAAATTGAGAGGGAGAACCATGGGGACAAGGAAGCAAAGAAATAACAACAGAAAAACTATCTGTCGAGCACAGAACACTGGTTGTGGTTTACTAACACATGTAGCTGACTGGGGTAAATAGAGCAAAAGCCTACTAAGTTTTTGAGGAATTGGTTTTGCCAAACAATCTAAATGCGACCTTAAAATCTTTGGAATGTTCAAGCAAGTGTCCTTATATCTTCAAATTTGCACCAGCTGAAAATGAGCTGCAAAATTGCTCTAGGGAGAGACTACTCACCTTTTAGATGTGGCCACGAAGAAAAATAGACAAAGAAGACACCCTCAGAAAGCAGAAGCAGAAGCCAAAGAGAAAAACAGACAGAAGACTGACTTGACAGAACCATCCAGTTGCTGTCAAGTAGATTCTGACTCATGGCAACCCCATTGTGTCAGAGTACACCTGTGCTCCATAGGGTTTTCAATGGTTGATTCTTTGGAAGTAGATCACCAGGTCTTTCTTTCAAGGCGCCTCTAGGTGGGCTTGAACCTCCAATCTTCGGTTAGCAGCTGAGCACTTAACCATCTGCACCACCCAGGGACTCACACAACCTAAATGTTGTTGTTGTGTGCCGTCAAGTCGATTCCAGCTCATAGCAGCTGTATAGGACACGTTAAAACTGCCCCATAGGGTTTCCTAGGCTGTAATCTTTATGGGAACAGATCACCAGGTCTTTTCTCCCACAGAGCTGCTGGGTGGGTCCAAATCTTTAGGTTAGTAGCCAGGTGCTTTAACGATTGCGCCACCAGGGCTCCTTCCCAACCTAAGCCTCAGGCAAAGGAAGAAGGAGAGTAGGAAGGCAGAAGAAAGGCAGAGAGAAAAGGAAAAAATAACAAGTTAAGCAAATTCAAACGGTTAGTTATAGGCAGTGTTATTAGCTATTAGTTCAAGGTCTTTCATCAACCTGTTGATGCTGAAGTTTATCAGATTTGTTTCTTCTCAAATATTAATTTTAATCCACCTGTATACCAGAGTGTGGGGGGCTGTCATTGAAGACACAGGCCATGTCAGGTTCCATTGGCCCCATTGACTTCCCTAGCTTGGGCATCCTGCTAGTAAACAATGGCACCATGGAGGATACCTGTGATGGAAAACACCACCCACCTGTACATGCTGAAGACTGTGTTGCCATTGTGCATAAGGTACACATACACCTCCTCAACATCCTCATGCTTCATCATGCTGAAGGTGAAGAAATACACACCTGAAAAAGGCAGGTATTTAGCCATGTTTATATTAACATATTGTACATTGAAGACCTGGAGACAGCAGGGGGATATGCCAAATGACCTCACATTTCTTCTGTTAACACTTGACAGGATATGTAGTTTCTTCTTGGCCTTTATTTGCATGAATATCTCTTTATCTGCTCTCACCTTCAAACTGCTTTAAGTTTTGTTCACTTTCTCAATGTGTATACTGTCTGTCCCCAACAGGATTACAACGTCTTTAGGCAAGATGTGTAGGTTAGCTGTATTTCACTGCCTCACCCTACCCCTCTGGCCAAGTGCTCAGAGCGGAGTACATCAGTTCCTGTGTCACTGCGTCTAGGTTAATTATCATCAGCATGTACCACATAAGTCATATTAATAAGGTACAGAGCCCTGCAGGGGATTGGGCACATGGCCTTCTGAAACCCAACAAAATGAGCCAAATATAACTTTACAATGGAGGATCATGCCCGCCACGCCAGAGGCATTAGCCAAAGATAACAAAGCACTGGATCGCTGAATAAATGTTTATTAGTTCTAAAGAAAAAGTTCCAGGCATTTCTCAGGTTATTCATTATAAATGGGTGAAATTATATGCAATAAATAGAAAGATCCAATTTAGACTCAGCAGCATAACCCTGTTACTAAAAATCCAGATCCTCTTCATTTGAAAAAGATCAACATATGTTAAAAGATGTGAATTTTCTTGGAAGAGCCTAGGGCTCCTAACTGAAAGCAATTTAATATGACCTGGTACATTCTAAATGCCAGCACAGGAGATTCTATCAGTGAATGATTAAGAAGAATCCAAATTAGATGGAGAGCTAAAAGGAAAATCCTGCCAACTCCAGATGATCTGGGATTTGGGGGTGCATTTTAGAAAGGTGAATGTAAGTCAACAAGCTCTTACTGATTTCCATGTTACATTTTTGTACTAAAGATCCTGTGAGAGAAAAATCCAGAAACACCTGAAAAAGAAAAAAAAAAAAAAACACTGGACAGTTCTACGCTGTTTTCCGAAGGTGCTGTCAAGTAAGATAGAAGCTGTAATGGTGCCACGTTGATCCGTCTGTTTCTGAACCAGGTGGAATGAAATAAAGGAAGTATGATTATACTTTATTAAGTGTTGGGCATGTATATTCAAAGCACTAGGAATGAAGGAAATGGTATAAAAATCAGTTGTGCCCATTCACAAGCCTGGAGATTGGCCCACAGATGAAAAGTAAAGGTAGATACCAATTATAGGACTCCAAGAAAGAAATTTATACGTATTCAGGTATTTTATATTTTATCAAACTTCATATTAAACCTCCTCCCCCCTCTCCCCCCCAAAAAACAAAAACACAATTTTCAATGCCTTAGGAAGATAAAATTGAAATCAAAATGACAGGAAAAGATACTAGCTTTCCTTAAAAAAAAAAATGATGAGTACTATAAAAAATAGATTGCAGAAACAGTTTCGAAGCCGCCAGCTAAGAAACCAGATGGTGAATAAATGAAATGCCAAGAGTTGGAAATACAGAAGTGAATATGTAGTATAATCACACACAATTGTCCTTTGCAAGAACAGATATTGAAACCAGAGGCAACACATTTCCACTATGGTTTTTAGGTCTTTGTTTTACTGTAATTACAAAATCAGTCTTCTCTGTGTAATCACTCTTGACGTTGAGAAACATAAAATGGTCATTTGGCAATCTACTGAGTGAGGTTTAGGAGCCCTGGTTGCGCAGTGGTTAAAGCACTTGCTGCTCACCAAAAGGTCGGCAGCTCAAACCTACCAGCCACTCTGCAGGAGAAAGATGTGGTAGCCTGCTTCGGTAAAGATTTACAACCTTAGAAACCCTATGGGGCAGTTCTGCTCTGTCCTACAGGGTAACTATGAGTTGGAATCAGCTTGACGACAGTGAGTTTGGTGGTTTGGTTTAGGTGAGGTTTAAACAGTAAACCATGAGAGTCAAAGGATGGTCATATTGTTGGAATAAGGTGCTCAAGAGAGTTCTAGAAAACTAACTAAATCAGAGGTAACTATGCCCTCTGAGGAATTATTTGGTTCCGTTTAGATCATAGTTAATATTCTTAATAACCATGGCCAGTTTTTTTTTTAAAAAACGTGTCTTTGTTTTTTAGATTTAGATTCATTTACTTTGAAACCCAACAGAAATCTATATGAGCTGCTTGTTTCAACCTGAATCAGAAAGAATTCTCCACTCCCCTAGTGTCTTCTTTCCTTTGTTCCCTCTCTCTACCTCTCTTTCTTTCCTCTCTTCTTCCGTCCTTTCCCTCCCTTCTCTCTTTCTCTCCTCCTTTCCTCCCTCCGTTCCTCCCTCCCTCCCCATCTTCCTTTCTTGATCACTAGATTGATGAATTCAGTCATTCATTTATGTCTACATCTCACCTGATACTGGGGCCCCAAATCTACCAGTCATGACATCAAAGAAGTTTCCAATGTTGGTCTCAACGCTGCTGAAGATAATCCCACTGTTCTGATTGCTGAAGTGAGTTGCAAGTGAAGCCATGAATGCAATCTAAGGAAAGAGTTGGTGGTTAATTAATAGGCAATTAGCATGATTTGGCAAACAAATATTGAAAATTTATGTTGTGTAAGATACCAAGCAAGTTAAACAAAAAACAATATGGACCGCAATGTTCAAAGTTTGCAGTCTTGGAAGGAAGATTAAGAGTACATCATTTACAGTCTCTTGGTGTCATGCTTAGAAAGGCTTCCCATTCTTCAACGTTTCATCCTCATTTTCTTCTACTATATTTTACTGTCTGCTTATTTACAAATAAGTATGCAAGCCACCCTTTTACTTACCATAAATAAAAATATTGATAGATAAGGCATTGCAACCTTTTAAAAATTTTGTGTAACAAGAAAAAAAAATTCCTTAAATTTAAAAAACAGGGAACACATTTGCAACACATATTAGAGATGAAGTTGTAAAACTTTTAACCTATATAAATGGCTGTTATAGCCCAATAAGGAAAACAAAAATATTATAAGAGACAAATGGATAAAGAATATGGAGAGGCATCTCACATAAATACCTTTTATTCCAGTTGAAACAATAAATCATTTCACCCATCAAATGGATATAACACCTATTGGCTTCTGTATTCCCAGCTCTTGGCATTTCACTTTTCCGCCATCTGGCTTCTTAGCCTGCACTTTCTATATGTTTCTGCAATCTGTTTTTTATGTGTGCCTTGTTTTTTTCAGGGAAACTAATATTGCATTGAAAATTGCTTTTTTTGTGGGGGAGGAGGGTGATAATATGAAATTTTATAACATGTAAAAAACCTGAGCACATATGAACAAGTTTCTCCCATTGGCGGGAGTATATACTGTTAGGACACTTCTCAAAGCAATTTAGTAATATATGTCAACATTTTAAATGTCCATACCTTTTGTCCAAAAGCACCCACCGTTTTAGGATTTTATCTTAAAGAAATAAAGTTTTTATACGAGTAAGTTTATTGTAACATTATTTGTAACAACAAGATTGGAAATAGCTAAAGCACCAATCCACGGAGAAAAAATCAAATAAGGTATGGTAATTGCTAACATTTTTATGCTATGCAGCAATCAAAATGATAATGTATATCAGCACTTCTCAACGTGTTTCAACAAACGTTGGACTTTAAACAATACTTTTTGAAATATTAAAATTCTACTATCAAAGAATACTGGAAAAATTTGTATGAAATCTTCCTTTTGTAGCTATGCAATGAGCATAATATATGAAAGGATCTGAGAAGCCCTACAGCCAAATGACTTTTTAATTTTATCAGCCTTAAATTAATTTTTTCCTCAAAAGATACCCATTAAATTCAAAATACATTTTGAGAATCTTTGATGTTGATCTATACTTATATATGGTATGGGAAAATGTCTTTAATACATTATTTAATAAAAATGCAAGCAACACAAGATCATTACGGTCTAACAGGACTTGAGGTGAGTAAGTGTGTGGGGTGGGCATTGTGTGGGCAAACTTAAGAAAATATCTGCAAGAACATCTATAAAATTATTAATGGCAGTCGACACAGGGTAGATGTTTCATGGGAATTTTTTTTTCCTTTCTTCGCTACACCTATTGTTTTGAAATGGAATTGTGTATTAATTTTATGTTAATAAAAAGGACACTCATTTGTAACTGTATCTACATGAAGAGATGTTCAGGACATAGGTGTTCATGAAATAAAGTAACAAAGTAGTATGTACTGTATGTTGCCATTGTCATTTAAAAATAACAGGTGTGTATGAATATGTATAAATCTGAAAAGATACGTAACCATGTTCGTAGTAATTGTCTCTTGATAGATTTTATTTTTCTTTGTTTTTTGCTCAGTTTTCCTTTCTAATTTTTTTTTTTTTTTTTTTACAATTAAAAGCTATCGGGATACTTTTTTTAAAGGCAAAAAAGAATGTTTGCAGTTATCCAAAATGTAGAAAAATAGATTAATAAAACTAACAATCTATTTGAATACTGGAAAAGCAAAACCTTCTGTATACATTTTACTGTTAAGATACTGCCATCATTGAACAGTAAATTTAGGTTTAGGAGAATCAAAGAAACCACTTAATGCCAGCACTATTCCTTGGATTATAACATTACAAATACTTTATGTGCAATATTTTATGGAACTTTGAAAGCTCTGCTGAATCAGTAAAATATCAGTGAAGAGAATTAATTTAAGAAGCCTGCCCGTGGTGACACCCACTCTGGCCCTATGAGTTTGGGAATAAAACTGTCTCTTTGAGTCCAAAGATCTGAATTTGCATCCCATACCACTTATCTAACCCATATCTAGCCATATCACTTGGCAAGCCATGTAGTGTTTGAGCCTCGTGCAATGTTTGGGCTCTTCTATATCACTTAATTAAGAAGAGAGTGAGATGCTACTATCACTACTACTGTTGTTACTACTACTGGCATCCGAAGACAGGGTTGGAAGCCAATATACTAAATGTTAATAATTGAAAGGCATTAGAACAATCCCACCTGTCAAGAAATGTTTTTGCTGAAACCACCATTGGAGAGTCACCTTTGAAAGACAATGCCAGTCCCCCATCCAAATGGGTCATTGAAACTGAGTGTGAATCAGATGAATCGATTCTTGATTTGCAGGGATCATCGGTCTTCAAAGAATGGGGGTTGGAATGGGGGAGAGGTGAAAGAGGAGGAAGAGGGGATCAAATATGTGAAACCCTGAGAACTTTAGACAAGGCCAGAAAAATCAACAGAGGATCGATATGAACAGTTAGAAAGAGAGCATGAGGACATTAGAGGCAGGATAGGGAGGGGGTGACATCAGGATAGTGATTTAGAAATGGGAGTGAAGGCACCTGGAAGTCACTCTCCTTCATAATCTGCCTAACGATATCTTCCCTCTTCTGTAATGTCTCCTTTAAAACATGTGAAAGTGTTGTTGTTGTTCTTAGTTCTTAGGTGCCATCGAGTAGGTTCTGACTCATAGCAGCCCTGTGTACAACAGAAGGAAACACTGCCTGGTCCTGCACCATCCTCACAATCGTTGTTATGCTTGAGCCCATTGTTGCAGCCACTGTGTCAATCCATCTCGTTGAGGGTCTTCCTCTTTTTCGCTGACCCTCTACTTTACCAAGCATGATGTCCTTCTCCAGGGACTGATTCCTCCTGATAACATGACCAAAGTATGTAAGACATAGTCTCTTGCCATCCTTGCTTCCAAGGAGCTTTCTAGTTGTACTTCTTCCAAGACAGATTTGTTCATTCTTCTGGCAGTCCATGGTAAGTTCAATATTCTTCACCAACACCGTAATTCAAATACATCAGTTCTTCTTTGATCTTCTTTATTCATTGTCCAGCTTTCACACACATATGAGGTGATTGAAAACACCATACATAGCTTGGTCAGGCACGCCTTAGTCCTTAAAGTGACATCTTTAATTTTCAACACTTTAAAGAGGTCTTTTGCAGCCGATTTGCCCAATGCAATGCGTTGTTTGATTTCTTAACTGCTGCTTTAACGGGCATTGATTGTGGATCCAAGTCAAATTAAATCCGTTATAACTTCAATCTTTTCTCCATTTATCATGATGTTGCTTATTGGTCCAGTAGTGAGGATTTTTGTTTTGTTTATATTGAGGTATAATCCATACTGAAGGCTGTGGTCTTTGATCCTCATCAGTAAGCGCTTCAAATCCTCTTCACTTTCAGCAAGCAAGATTATGTCATCTGCATAATGCAGGTTGTTAATGAGTCTTCCTCCAATCTTGATGCCCCGTTCTTCTTCGTATAGTCCAGCTTCTCGGATTATTTGCTCAACATACAGATTGAATAAGTATGGTGAAAGGATACAGCCCTGATGCACACCTTTCCTGACTTTAAACCATGCAGTATCCCCTTGTTCTGTTTGAACAACTGCCTCTTGGTTTAAGTACATGTTCCTCAGGAGCACAATTAAGCGTTCTGCAATTCCCATTCTCCGTAATGTTATCCATAATTTGTTATGATTCACACAGTCAAATGGCTTTGCATAGTCAATAAAACACAGGTAAACATCTTTCTGGTATTCTCTGCTTTCAGCCAGGATCCATCTGACATCAGCAATGATATGCCTTGTTCCATGTTCTCTTCTGAATCCAGCTTGAATTTCTGGCAGTTCCCTGTCAATGTGCTGCTGCCACCACTTTTGAATGATCTTCAGCAAAATTTTACTTGTGTGTGATATTAATGATATTGTTCAATAATTTCTGCATTCTTTTGGATCACCTTTCTTTGGAATGGTGACAGACACATATGTGAAAGTAGGTCTTCTAAATGATTATACTGTAGTTTCAGTGCAAAATTGCTGATGAAGCAAATTTAGTATTTCCCCAGAGTGTTCTCCATTAAGCCAACTATTCCAGGGCCCCCTAACCATGGATATAATCATGCACAGGGTCTGGGTTAGAGTTTCAAGCTTTGAGAATTTTGTCTTCCATCTTCCTGGATAGCTTTAACTTGGCTGAGTGGCATGTCTTTTCTTTATAAATTTATGTTGCCACATGAATCCCAGGTTGCTAAAATTTTTAAACAGTATTCGTTAAAAAGTTATAAAACCGCAGTTAGAATAAAACACAAGATCTCTTAGTTTACACTTGGAAAAAATCAATGCCCAGAAATATGATGGGACTTACCCCAGGTCAAACAATCATTTTATATGCTCAAATAGAAGGTAAAGTTTTCCCATAATTTTTCTTTCAGACATGAGTAGTCTTATATTGATTTAGTTTAATGTGCTTTAGATGACGAGATTTAATTGAGCAATTTGACTCAATAAAACTTTACACCTGTAGGGTCAGTGGTCTGAAAATATAATTCCAGACTTAATTGCATTACTTTGTGTGTGCAGACCAATGAAATCAGTTTGATTGGGAAGAAAAAGAGTAGCCTTATATTCTAGTTCTTTAAAAGCATCTCATGTTACAGGATGCTTGCTCAGTTTCTTTTGTCTTAACCATACTTTGGGGAAGACATATTAGCCAGAAACAACATTAATAAAAAATGCTGATAAAAGTCCCATGGCAGAATCAGTTTTTAAATATTAGAAAAAATTTATGCAGATTTAGTCATTTTTCTTGGTGATTTAATGTCACATTTCAAGTGTTAAGTGGTGTTGACGACAAGAATTTTAAAGAAGGTTTCAAAAAGAAATAAAGAATAGACAAGTGAGTACCTTAGATCGAGATAAAACATCTGGTTAAAGCCTCATACAGGCATTCAAAAAACTTTGAACAGAAACTAATGTGATCTGGTCTGGAAAACTGTGGTTGGATGACTCAGAAAGAAAATGTTTCTAAGGATAAAGAGAGGCATTGGTGATTTAGTGGTATAATTCCTGCTTTCCATGTAGGAGACCCGGGTTCGATTAGGCCAATACACCTCAAGTACAGCCACCACTCATCTGTCAGTGGAGGTTTTCATGTTGCTCTGATGCTGAACAAGTTTCAGCAGTGCTTCCAGACTAGGACAGGCTAGGAAGAAAGGCCTGATGATCTACTTCCAAAAATCAGCCAGTGAAAACCCTATGGATTACCATGGTCTGATCTCTAATCAATCATGGAGATGGGGCAGGACCGGGCAGAGTTTCATTCCATTGTAAATGGGGTCACCATGAGTCAGGGGCCAACTCGATGTCAGTTAACAATTATGTAAATGCAACAAAATTGATAAAATATCATAAGTATACATTTGGCTGTTCCGTGTATCTATCTAAAAGTTTATATATATGAGTTGCCAGAAACTTTCTTATTTCAATTTAAAAATTATTTGTTGAGTATCTTCTCATTTGGAAAATAGGAAATTAATTTATATTCAGAGTTGCCTTGTATTTGGTCTAATGAGGTAGTAGGAGGTTACTCTTCATAAATTTCTCTTTTCCCTAAGAATGATCTCAAAATCCTTTACTGTTTGAACAGCACAGGCCTTATGCAAACATATCCTGCGTGTAGATGAACCAGTTGAGACTCAGATTTGCTCAGGATTGGTAGAGCTTGTGGAACCTCTCAAACCTTCTGATTCCCGGCCTCTGGTGACCAGGGCAGGTGTGTAAGTCACCTGGAGGTGGGGGAAGGGCAGTTTACCTGAAGTTCTGGTGGAATGCCGGGGTAGCCCTTCTCTCCTTTGGGGCCATGCTGCCCTCGCTCCCCTCGTGGCCCCAGGTCACCTTTGTCTCCTTTCTCACCTTTGGCCCCTTCATGGCCAGTGGCTCCATTATTGCCATTGTTTCCATGGTTTCCTTAAACAAGCAGACGTCACCACTTGAGAAAGCCCAGTTACTCATTCACACTCACTTCACTGTCTATTTCTAGACAGCCGTGAGTGATTTTTATGCCATTCTAAATACTATTCCGTCTTTTTAAAGTCTTCTACAATGGACACGTGTCACTTTTACAACTGGGGGGAAAATAAAATCATCGATTAAAAAAATAACAATAATTTTGAAAGCAAGACTTGAACAACAATTTCAACGCTTCACTTTACCACTCAGGGACCATTTTTACATCTCTTCCTTTATTTTTACTTTTGCTGAATTTCAGGCCCTTTTGCTGTCTATTTTGCACGCTACCTTTGGGCAGGTATCACACCAGGCTTGCAATCTTCTCAGGCTGGTGAACTTTGACAGTGTTTGCAGTTAATGTGATCACATGACAAAGCTGTTCTCTAATGAAAAACATTTAGCCAAGGCTACCCTGTCCTGTAACCTCAAAAGAGTTTAGACCTGAGAAAATTCTAGAAGCATACGAATATCCCCGTCCCCTCTTACATCACCTCCTCTGCTGGCTGCTACCTTGATATTCAATGACATAGATTCCAAGCCAATAATCACAATTTAAAGTCTAACATAAGGTTTTCTGATTTTAAACTTGGTTTCATGTAGGAGACTTTCGAAAGTATAAAACTTAAACTGCATTTGACAATTATTTTTGTACGTTGTAAAAAAAAAAAAAAGATATAGCACAACACTTGCCAACTCAACAATTTTCAGGTATACAATTTAGTGATAGCGCTTAGCATCTGACAATTATAAATGCCAATGAGGGTAAGTCAGAGAAGAGCAAGTAGACTGCTGCTGACTCGTGAGAAAACGCTCCACCCCCAGGGCATGGCCCGAGAAGGAGTCAGCCAATAAAACCCCCAGTAGTTCTGGGGTCCTAGTATAGAGGGGCCTGTGCTGCCCTTTCCTCTGCAGGCCCAGCGTAGGCACCTGTTCCAGAATTCCTCCTTGCCTAGCGGCACAGGAGCAGGAGCAACAAAGTAGAGATGGCTGCAGGGTCTACAGGGGCCCTGATACAGCTCTGCAGCATTCTCCATTCCACACGTGGTGCTGGAGCACAAAAATGTTTCCATGAGCCCCAGAGAGGCATAAAAGTCAGCTGGAGACAGCTGAACACGGAGAGAGCCTTAGGCTGCAGGAAGGAAAGCTCAGCTGGACGAAGGAGTAGGCAGAAGGATATACGCTCAGCATGTGGCACTGTGGATAGATGATGATAACCTGACCTTACTGCTCTCCTCTCCACGCCCACCCTCACCCTCGCTTCATAAATACCCTGGAAATCGGATCGGATCGGATATAGTATACAGTACAAAATGCCCTGTGGCAGAAACACCGCAGCAAAGAGTAGGTCCCAATCAACATAATAAACGCTAACCAAAAAAAAAAAAAAAAAAAAACCACCACGGCGGCCGAGAAGATTCTGACTCATAGCGACCCTATGGGACAGAGTAGAACTGCCCCATAGGGCTTCCAAGGCTGTAATCTTTATGGAAGCAGACTGCCACGTCTTTCTCCGGGGGAGTGCGCTGGTAGGTTCGAACCACCAACCTTTTAGTTAGCAGTCCAGAGCTTTAACCACTGCGCCACCAGGGCTTCTTATAATTAATGCAAGTGAAGAGTTTCCAAGCCTATGAATTTGGTACCCCAGGATGCCTAGAGGCTATGGGATTCTGCAAAGGGTATCAATAATAAATACTATAGAATTTATACTGTTCCACCTTAGCCCGCTTAATAAACCCGGCTCCCCTACCCAACTCTCTTTCTTTTGGATTTTCCATGCGAACACTTTGGCTTACACACAAGTGCTTCCTGATTATTTGTTTGTTCTTGCCTCTTATTTTGACACAGTCTTCAGTTAGCCTAGCAACAGCATAACTTGCTCATCCTTACCTGGAATGCCAGGGGGGCCTGGAGGTCCAGGGGGGCCTTGGTAGCCTCGGAAGCCGTAGTCTCCATGGCAACACTTGCTGCAGTCTGGTGGCAGTCCTCCGGTTTGTGGAGACTTTAAGAAGATACAAAGAGAAGCTTCAGAGAAAGATACCGTGGATAATTAGAGTTTTTTAAATTTCTTCTGGTGCTGGTCCTTAAATGAGTCTCGGTTTAACTTCAAACGACCCACAATAACATCAGAAAAGATGGTGGAAGGTGGAAATGTCAATAGCATAGATGTCAGGGAGTAGTTAAAGAGGATTGGGTGAGGTAACCAGAGAGTCAACAGAACACTTTCTTTGGAAAAGAGTGTGAGAGGTGGTGGGGGCTTGGAGAGTGGGGTAGTATTTTGAGGAAGTTCTTTCCTGCAGCTACTGATGACAGCAAAGGAGGAAACTCCTTTAGAAGTGCAGCTGGAGGCATTCATTCTCTCTCTTGCCCAACTGGTAATAGCGCAGGTGTAGCTGGGTTGAGTAAATGACCCTCAAATTGCAAGAATTATCAACTTGTAATATACTTATTAAGCACTAATTATAGGTGGCACAAACGGTTAAGTGCTCAGTTACTAACTGAAAGGTTGGTGGTTTGAATCTAAGAGGTGCCTTGGAAGAAAGCCCTGGTGATCTACTTCCAAAAGATCACAGCTTGAAAACCCTATGGAGTGTAATTCTACTTTGACACACATGGGGTTCCCATGAGTCAGAATCGACTCCATGGCAACTTTTTTTTTTTTTTTTTTACTTTATTCATGATAGAAGCCCCTGGCTGTAAACAGTTAATGCTCTTGACTGACAACCAAAAGGTTGGAGGTTTGAGTCCACCCAGAGGTGCCTTGGAAGAGAGGCCTGACTCTCTACTTCTGAAAATATCAGCCTTTGAAAACCCTGTGGAGCAGTTTCTATTCTGACACACATGGGGTCACCATGAGTCAGAGTCAAGTCAAGGGCAACTGGTATACTCATGATGTTGGGTTAAGAGTTCTTAGAAACAGATTATAATGCTGGCTTTTCAAAGAGACACAGCAAACTTCAGTTGCCTCAGGAAATTTATCCAACAAATTTTTATTGATTACTTACATTTGGAAGCAACTTTAACTTCTTAAAAATAAGTATTTAACCTGACGTTCTGTTTCATATTCCACTTCAAAATTTAAAATGATTATCACATTGATTTAATCAATATCTAATGAGTATTTAATGGGTACTAAATATACTTAAATGTGACACTGAGTTAAAGGCTTATTTATAGAGAAATAAATCTCTAAAATTGATGCTTACTGCCAAAGAGCTTGAGATCGAGTGGAAGGTGATTGGCAAAAGAGTTCTAGTTGCTTATAACATTTCGATTCTCATCTAAATTGGCAAGTTGACTTTTAATTATATCCTATAAAATTTGTGGAAACTTTCCTAGACATCAATTATAATTCAGTGGTCTTTTGAAGACAGCTCTCATTGATAAAGGATTCATTTAAAGAATGAAAGAAAAAAGAAGGGAGGGAGGGAGGGTGAGAAGAATTTAAAGTTCAAGCTTTCTCCATCACTAGAAATTCAAGCAAAAAATATCAATACTTCACTTTGCTGCACATTTAGACCTAGCATTTTTTTTTTTTAAACAAAAATGGCTTGGACATTTTCATCATTCTCTTGTCCCTTTTTCCTAAAGGTTTCCAACAAGCTATACAGGGAGAACACAGAACAATATTTGCAGTCAAAGTATTCTCCTGCAACAGCTCAGAGCCCAAGTCTTGAGGGATCAGAAGCTCACAATTTAACACTAACTCCTAGTCTAGTCCTATTTCACCAGGACCACCTTGGTTTTGTGGGTATGGAAATCTATGAATATCTCTTTGTCAAACTAGCAGAGGAAAAGAAAATCAACTAAAGGAATTGGTCAGAGAAGAGAGATTTCAAGACATTTGGAAAAGCAAAGACACCATGCACCACCCCACCCTCTAATCCAAAAATGTAATCTGAGAAGGATTCAATATTTTCCTGGTATCGTTTTGCTAATGTGAAATACAGCTTTTTAAACCCCAAGAAATCCAGGACTCTGCCAAGAATGGATTTTTAGGGAAGGAGAAGGGAGGGGAAGGAGGGAAAATTCTGAAGTGGAACTATTTATTTAAGAAGAGAATTGAAATATTGTGACTCTTGAAAATGTCAGAAAGACCATGGGACTGGAAGCAGGATTCCTGTCTGGGTTTTGCGTGACCTTAGTGAAGTCACTGTCTCCCAGACACCACTTTTCTTATCTGTTAAATTAGAGGATTACATAAGATGGTCACGAATTTTCTTCCCAGCTCTGAGATGCAGACAAAGATACTGAGGCCTTTTCCAAAACCTTAAATAATCAATTAGAAATATTTTGTATTTAAAGTCTAGTATCTGGGGAGGAGATGGGGTTGCTCTGTACCAGAGCTAACTAGGGCTTGGTGTGGGTGCCCAAGCTACCTGGGGACACTTTGAGAGTATAGAGCTGCCACCAAAACTGCAAGAGACTTTGGAGTATTACTAGTCAGGCAGCTCCTGAGAACCTACCCTCCTGCGAAATTTCATCAAATGTTCCTCCCTCTGGCCTTGTCTTTCAAAGTTCAATCATCTGGAGCAATGCTTGTGAGTCTATTGATGGACTCTGAGAACGTGTTGAAAATAGTGTGGTAATTCAGAAGTGTTTCCTAGGTCAGGGAGAAATCATATACTAGGTAGTTGTTATAAGTCTGTCACCTCTAAAGTTTATCAACCCTTTTCCCCAAATCAGGTTGAATGGTTACATCAGGGACATGCAAAGAGGCAGCATGCGAGGAGGAGATTATCTCCAAGACAAATTCCATCCATTTTGTAGATGGAGGTTAGGGGCAGCTACTCAGATTTGAGTTCTACAGTTACTAACTGGGAGCCCTGGTGGCACAGTGGTTAAGAGCTACAGCTGCTAACCAAAAGGCTGGCAGTTCGAATCCACCAGCCACCCCTTGGAAACCCTTGGGGCAGTTCCACTCTGACCTATAGGGTCACAATGAGTTGGAATTGACTGAGGAGTCCCTGAGTGGCACAATGGTTAAGCTCTTGGCTGCTAACCAAATGGTTGGCAGTTTGAACCCACCAGCAGCTCCTTGGGAGAAAAGACCTGGTAATCTGTTCCCATAAATATTGCAGCCTAGAAAACCCTATGAGGCAGTTCTACTCTGTCTATAAGTCAGAACTGACTAGATGGCACACATACACACACACAGCAACAATTATTAAGTGAGGTTCCTAGGTGGCTCAAACGATTCGTGATCGACTCGTAACCTAAAGATTGGCAGTTTGAACCCACCCAGCAGCTCCAAGGAAGAAAGGCCTGGCAATCTGTTTCTTTAAACATTACAGCCAAGAAAACCCTGTGGAGCTCAGTTCTACTCTGTCACACATGGGGTCGCCAGAAGTCGGAATCAGTTTGATGGCAACAGGTTTATTATTAAGTGACGTCTAGAAAAGAGAGTCCATAGCTCCTTCTTTCACTCAAGCAAGAGGGAAAGAAAGAAGGAGAAGCGAAGTGGGAGAAGAGAAGGAGGGAGAAATGGGTGCCCAGGAGGATAAGAGGAGATTGATAAAGGCGAATGACAAAGAGACTGAAGAGAAGAAAATGTCAGAGACAAGAGTAACAGTCTGCCTACCTCAGCTCTCATCCCACTCTAATCCACCCCAAGCCCACAGCCAGAACTATCTTTCTAGAACACAAATCTGATTACCTCACTGCCTCACTGTGAATGAATGAACAAACACGCTGGCAAAATAAGGTCTAAACTCCTTAATCAGCCAGTAAAATCCATTTCAAGCTGACACTAAAATCATTCCTGGCTGGTCTCCAAGTCTTCCTCCCATGACCCAGGAGCTCCAGCCACGCCAGCTCCGCATGAGGTCTTTCAATTCTCTTCCTCATGGCACATATGTTTATCTCCGCCCCTGATACCTGTCCTTTTTGTCTCATGTTTTAAGATCCAGCTCAGCTATCACTGCCACTCTGACACTTTTTCCCAGCTGCCTTTTGTGCACTGACCTTGTTTATTACAATGCATCTATTTGTTAATTTATCCCAACTCTGAAAGGAGCCTTGGTGGTGCAGTGGTTAAGCACTCCGCTGCTAACCAAAAGATCAGCAGTTTCAGCCTACCAGCCACTCCTCAGGAGAAAAATGTGGTAGTCTGCTTCCATAAAAATTTACAGCCTTGGAAACCCTACGTGGCAGCTCTACTCCGTCCTATAGGGTCGCTGAGTCAACAATGGGTTTGTTTGGTTTAGAGTCCATCTGGCCCCTAGATGGCACAAATGGTTTGCCCTCAACTACTAACCTAAAGGTTATCAGTCTGAATCCACCCAGTGGCGCCATGGAAGAAAGGCCTGGTGACTGGCTTCCATTAAGATTACAGCCAAGAAAACCCTATAGAGGAGTTCTACTCTGTAACACATACAGTCACCATGAATCAGAATCTACTCAACAGCAACGAGTTTGATTTTATTTTAGAGTTCCTCAGAACTCGTTGTTCTGAAGAACTCGAAAATAAAATCAAACCCGTTGCTTTGGAGCTCTCTGGTGGCGCCGTGGTTAGGCGTTCCACTGCTAACCAAAAGGTCGACAATTCAAATTCACCAGCTGCTCCTTGGAAACTCTATGAGGCAGTTCTACTCTGTCCTATAGGGTCACTGTGAGTTGGAATCGACTTGATGACAACAGGTCGGGTTTGGTTTGGTTTTCAGAACTCTTTGGAGACTGGAGATTAGCTGTGTTTATCTTCCTATCCTCAGTCCCCACCCTAAAGCTTGGCACCTAGCAGGAAATGCTTGGTGAATGAATGGATAAATGAATAAGTAAAAAGGAGAATAAGATAAAAGAAGAGGTGGGGAGAATGAGGAAAGAAGAAAGAACATAGTACAATCCTGAATTCAATTAGGGACACTCTACCGACTGGTAGGAGTCCTCAAGGCGCAGTGGGTTAAGCGCTCCGCTGCTAACCAAATGGTCAGCAGTTCAAACTCACCAGCCACTCCGCGGGAGACAGATGTGGCAGTCTGAAAGTGAAAATCTAAAGATTACAGCCTTGGAAACCCTACGGGGCGGTTCTACTCTGTCTATAGGGTCGCCATGAGTCAGAAGTAACTTGAGGGCAATAGGTTTGGTTTTTTTTTTTAATCCGTTGGTGGAGAACTTGTATCGAAAGCCTCCAGGATATCAGTAACTTAAATCTCCATAGTATCTTCTGTTGGGGGTTTGTTTGAAAATGCTCAGGAACCCAGGATAGAACGTGTAATTTGAATGTCAATGGCCTAGCCAGAAAATAATAACCTCTGACAATCTATATCTGCCTTCTAAGGCCTTACACTGTCACTGCCAGGAAGGAACCAAGAAAGATCCCATCTATTGAAATGGGACCAGTTGCCATAGAGTTCATTCCAACTCATGACGACCCCATATGTGTCAGAGTAGAACTGTATTCCACAGTTTTTTTTCTAATGGCTGATTTTTTTGGACGTAGATCACTAGGCCTTTCTTCTGAGGCACCTCTACATAGACATGAACCACGTTAACAGTTTGCATCACCCAGGGACTCCATTGAAATAGGAAGTCCACATCAATCCTTGGACAAAAGCGAAAACATTTCCACCACTAAAAAACCCAACAAATGAGCATTAATCACCTTTAGCCAAAAGATTGTCAGATGAAAGGACAATCTCCAAAAGTGGCTTTCCAAAAAACAGGATCATATTTACAGGTTATCATTTTTCTTGCAGCTCCTTAAAGAAACATTTTTCTCCTACACAGAACGGTTTGGGCAGCTGCATTGTGTGTTTAGGTTGGAAGTCCCAGGTTCTCCACCCTGATCTGCAGTTGTGCGTGATCTCAGTCCGCTCATATAACCACTCTCAAATTCAACCCAAGCCTCTCAATCTGTGACATGGGGGGTTTAGATTTTAACCACATAAACTTTTTCAGGGACTATTTGGTGCACAAAAGCAATCAATTCTTGCAGTAAAACCTATTTGTTCAAAGACCATGTAATTGGAAGTAATCCTTCTTGCCCCCCGAATCTGTTTTTAGCACACTAGATATCCAGAATGTAAGCCAAAATCTGTCTCTTCCTGTTACTAACGTTTTAAATTCAATTGAGTTTCACCAATTTGCAATTCACTACTCTAGAGCCTTAACTCACTCCCATGATGTTGTTGTTAGGTGCCATCAAGTCAGTTCCAACTCACAGCGACCCTATGCGTAACAGAATGAAACACTGCCCGGTCCTGGGCCATCCTCACAATCATTGTTATATTTGAGCCCATTGTTGCAGCCTCTGTGTCAATCCATCTGGTTGAGGGTCTTCCTCTTTTAAACTCACTCCCATACCACCCTAAAAGAGTTAAACATGCTTCCTTAGGTGCTGAATGTACACCTGGAGAAATAAATCAAGTTTTCTGTGAATATCAGGCATCAAATCATACACTATGGTTTCATGCATTTTAAATACACACAGTCCTTTTATTTTGTTTTGTTTTAGCTCTAATGCTTTTTTCAACATGCTGAGCATAGAAGTTTAGCAACTTAGAATGCTATAAATCCAATAGCAAAGCAGGCTGACACAAAATGGCCCACCCAACTCACAGCATCATAGTTTATTGCTTTTGACAAACTCAAAGGGCAGCTTCTGCATGCTGGGAAGTGTCAAGAAATGCAACCCTCTTATGGTGAGTAAATGATTATCTACAGCAGTCCACCTATTGCATAGGTCAGCAGTGCTCTTGTCGGCACCAACAGAGTAAGAAAAGCAATCGAGTTATGGCATAACAGGGAGCTGGCTGCCCATGTGCCCCTTCTGATGGGCTGATGATACAGGCTGTCTTTTGCACAGCATTGCTTTCCTCTGCTGGTTTTTCTGTCTAGCAGAGACTGCAGTCCCACTAGCAACCCTGAAACCCACAAGCACCTTAGCAAACTTCTCGAAAGCATCAATCCTAAGAATCTGAGTCAAAAAAAAAAAAAAAAAACAGCAACAGCAATAAAACCCATTAAGCTTTGACAGTAATTCTTAGAAGAGAATTCTGTGTACCTGGCCCCAGAATGGGGTGATCTGGGCTAGGTCATCTATCTCGGGGTGTGGTAGCTCATCTGGTCTCAGGGGTTTTAGGTCTGCAGAAGTGTTATTATCCACAGTCCCAGTTTTAGAATGGCTCCGCTCTCTCACTTTCTCCCTCCTGGAATGGCTACGGCCAGTCTGCTGGTGGCTCTGTACTATTCTCGCCACCACTTTCTTAGCTCTTCCGCTCACCTCCACGTATTCTTCTTGACACAGGCAAAGTGGAAGGAAAAACAGAGCCAGCAGGTGCCAACAGATGAGCTGCCTCCCGAGCATGGTTCCCAGCAGAGCACGGAGCCTCCTGGAGAATGGCCGGGCTCTAGGCGACGTGGTCTCCTCGAGGAGATGCCAGGACCGGAGCTGAGGGCTGCAGCTGCTGGGCGGTTTTATACTTTGGTGTGTAATAAATAAGGCTGTTGGCAGCCAGACTGACAGCAGCCCTCCCTCCAGCGGAACAGCCCCCATTCATCACGTTCCCACACCCCAGGGAGAACGGCTTGGTGTGCACAGCTCCCAGTTGGTGAGGTTCATAAATGTCACACCTTGGCATGTCGTGGTGAAATTGTGAAGAAAATATACACAGCGAGCTGGAAACAGAGAGCATGTATCCAGGGGTTTGCTTTCGTGATTAGACATGGAAAGGCTGAGGAGTCACGGTCTAAAACATCTTTTGGAAAAACCGACCCTTGGGCTTGCCAGGAAATTCAGGCTTAACTGCATCAATTCCGTCTCAACTAGGGGGGAACCCACTGGGGAAAATCAAGAGAACTCTTGCAGGCTTGTACAGTTAGTGCTTCTTCGCTTTGCCCTGCTTTAACTAATTCATTTCTGCTTCCGGATACCATCAGAGTCCCTGGGTGGTGCAAGCAGTTAACGCACTTGGCTGCTAACTGAAAGGTTGGAGGTTTGAGGCCAACCAGAGGCGCCTCGGAGAAAGGCTTTATGATCTACTTCCCAAAAAAACCAGCCATTGAAAACCCTATGGAGCACAGTTCTGCTCTGACACACATGGGGTCACCACGAGTTGGAATCAGTTTCATGGAAACTGGTTTCCAGATCTCATCAGCAAAGGCAGTTGGGTGACCACAGAACACAGTTGAATCCAGGTGCAGCGTCTCTGGATTCTGTGAAAGTATTTCCCTGTCCTAGGCTTTATTTCCTCTTCCCTTCCGTTTCTAAGAGCCAAAGTTAAAATTAACCAGGTCTCTTATTGCCAGATTAAGATCTAACAGACAGCTTCGTGTTAAGAGAAGGTTGTTTGTCTCTGGCTACTCTTCTTTCTGACATATTCTTGATTAAAATGGAGGGAATGGAAAGCTCCAAGGCAAACACTACTCCAAGCACATCAAGAAGGAGAGAATTATCATTTCCTTTATTTTAGTTGCTATGCTTTTATTATAATTTGAACAAAGAGCAAACAGATATTCCTAACCTCATCGGATGACACTGTAAGAGAATTTATATAGCTTTGTAATTAAAAGTGTCTCTATTTACTTATTCTTTCATTTAATGCTACTCAGTCCTCACTTAACAAAATTCACTGGCCCTCTTACACGCGCCGAGGATGAGTGTGACCCTGGGAACTTATAGAGGATGAGTGGCAAGTGTCTGATGCTAAGTGGACAAGGGTGGCACTGTCAGAAAGACAAAGCTTGGAGAGGACCAGCTTGTTGGTGAAGGGACAGAGCAGCTGGAGACAGAGGAAAGGAGAGAGGGCCGCTCACAGATGTGCACCTCACTCAACAAAGGCCTGAGAGCCAAAAGTTGCTTCCTGAACTGGCCAGAAGTGGACAAAGCCAGCCTGGTTGCTGGTGCAGCTGCCCAAACAGCTGCCTCTGGAGCTCACGGATATATACAGAAAGGATTTGAGGCTGACAGAGTGGGAGAGCTATTCTGTAAAATAAAAACTCTCCAGTTCACTAATACAGGAGCCTTGGTCAAATGGGTTGCTTTCAGCTACTAGCCTAAAGGTTGGCAGTTTGAATCCACCCCGCAGTGTTACAAAAGAAAGGCCTGGCAATCTGCATCTATGAAGATTACAGCCAAGAAAACCCTGTGGAGCAGTTCTACTCTGAAACATATGAGACCACCATGAGTCGGAATTGACTCAACAGCAGTAGGTTTTGGTTTTTTGGTCAAAGAAGGCACTTCCCACCTAGTGAATTAAAGAAGCACCACTACCCCCATTCCAAAAGCCTAGCCATGAGTGTCTAAAATTTCCTCCTGAAGGATTCTTTGAGGTCTGTGATTAGCACTGTTAAAAGGCAAATACCCTTGGAAAGGATAGCACATCGAACTGTTATCTGGCATTACTCTTACTGAGGATTTCTTTAAGAGGCCTGGGGCTGGAGAATGCAGAGGCATGGCACCTGGACTGGTGGGTAAGCAAGTGCATGGGACACTGATGTAGGAGGGACAGCCCAGTGTCTCAATGGGGGACGCCGAGGATGTTGGGAACAGGGGCAGGAGGGAGGCCTGGGGAAAAAGAAACTACAGGGAAATCACAAAGCAAGAAATGACTCTGCAACAAAGAAGGAAGGAGGGTCAGGAACAGGAGGAGGAAACGGAATGCATGGCTATTGTCTTCATGAACAACTGCCTCCTTTGCCATGAGACCAGAACTGGATGGTGCCCAACTACCACTACTGAACATTTTGATCAAAAAATTCTATAGAAGAATCCTGATCAAAAGGGGTAAAAATGCAGAACAGAATTTCAAATTCTCATGGAATCCATGAGCCATGGATGCTGAATGAACCCCCAAAACTATTGCCCTGAGATAATCTTTAAACCTTAAACCAAAAATATCTCCTGAAGTCTTCTTAAAACCAAGCAATAAACCAAAAAAACCCAAACCCATTGCCATCGAGTTGATTCTGAGTCATAGTGACCCTATAGGACAAAGAAGAACTGCCTCATAGGGTTTCCAAGGCTGTAATCTTCACGGAATCAGACTGCCATATCTTTCTCCCATGGAGTGGCTGGTGGGTTCAAACTGGTGACCTTTCAGTCAGCGGCGGAGCACTTAGCCACTGCACCACCAGGGCTCCTTAACCAAACAATAGTTCAGCTTAATTAATAAAGAATGACTGCCTTGAGCATTGTGCTATTTTAAAGAACTCCATGGGATCAAATTGGCAACAGCGACTCATAAGGTTAGAAAAGAAACTTAGGGGGCAGTGAGTTCATGTTAATGGAGGAGGAACAATTTGGAAAAAGAGTGTGAGAATGGTTGCACAACTTGAATGTAATCAATGTCACTGAACTGTACATGTAGAAATTGTTGAATTGGTTATGTTTTGCTGTGTACATTTTCAACAATAATTTTTAAAAAACGGCTCTGAAAACTAAGTCATCTAATTCACAAGTTTTCTAAGAGCTGCCTCTGGCTTTTGCAATCACGTCGCGCCCACAACCTGGATCACCTGGCTAAGAAACTACCAGTCAACCTCTTCTAAATCTCAACTGCATTAAGACTTTCCATTGGTGTTTTCAATCTTTTCACCTATTCTACCAATTCCCATCCCTGGCTGCAGATTAAAATACACCTGGTGTTCTTTTTGTTGGTAGGTGGCATCCAGTTGATTTCAACTCATAGCAACCCCATGTGACAGAGTAGAACTGTCTCATGGGGTTTTCTAGTCTGTAATCTTTAAGGGAGCAGATCGCCAGGTATTTCTCCCTTGGAGCCACTAGGTGGGTTTGAACCCCCAACCTTATTTATGGTTAGTAGCTTAGCATTTAACCATTGGGCTGCCAGGGCTCCTTAAAATGAGCCTCGCCTGCTAACTGAAAGGTTGGAAGTTCGAATCTACTCGGAGGCACCTCAGAACAAAGGCCTGGTGATCTACTTCCAAATAATCAGCCACTGAAAACTCTGTGGAGCACAATTTTACTCTGACACACATGGAGTGCCATGAGTTAGAATCGACTCCAAGGCAACTGGTTTGGTTTACCATGTGCCAGCCGGGTACATCTTTGCTCTAATTCACTGACTTTTCATAACCAACCTATTGTCCCCATTTTATAGATAAGGGAACAGAGACTCAGAGAAGTAAAGAGACTTGCCCAGCATTGTACAGTTGGAAGGAAGTGATCAGGATTTGACTGTCCTCAGAGCCTGTGCTCTCTTGCCTCCCTCCAGAGCAGATGGGAAGATTAATACCAAGCTAATGCAGAGAGAAGAAGGCCAGCTTGAGAGCTGCCTGGAGGCCTGCCCACAAGAATCTGGGTCAGAGAGCATTTATGGAAACTTAACTCTAGACCTCGTCATTTTACGGGTGAGGAGATGGCAGTCTGAAGAGATTTAGCCAGTCACTCAAGTTCATGGGTTGCTGTTGTTAGGTGCCGTGGAGTTGATTCTGACTCATAGCAACCACATGTGACAGAGTAGAACTGCCCCATAGAGTTTTCTAGGCTGTAGTCTTATGAGAGCAGATGCCCTTCAGAGCCGTTGGGTGGATTTGAACGACCAACCTTTTGGTCAGCAGCCATTGAATCACCAGGCCTCCTTTTCAAGTTCACAGGTGGTGAGTGCAAACCTGGGCCGGAGAAGAGGACTGCAGTCTCTCAGGTCCATTTCACATCCCTCCACTAAATGCATTTTAAACTTTGGCTTATTATTAAACCTTACTTGGGGTTATGACTTTATTCATGATCTGGTGATGCCCCTGGGTGGCGCAAACAGTTGTGCTCAACTAGTAACCTAAAGGTTGGCGGTTCAAACCCACCCAGCAGCTCCAGGGAAGAAAGGCCTGGTGATCTGCTTTTGTAAAGATTACAGTCAAGAAAACGGTATGGAGTAATTCTACTCTGGAGCACGTGGGGTCGTCATTAGTCAGAATGGACTGCACAACAACAGGTATGATTTCGTTTCTTTGGATGAGCATTGTATTCAATTCTCAAAGTTGTGAATAAGAGTCTGGCATCATTTTTTGTCTGGGGGTTGAGTATTTAACACACCTAAAATCTGCCCTGCAAACTCCCTGGAGGAGACAGAGTCCCTGTCCTGCTCAGCTATCGCTGGCTGTGAAAGCTCACAGAGGACGTCTGCGGACGTCAGCCACTGAAGATACACTGGGAACGTCACTGCCATCTGATTTACCTTGGCCCCTGGAATCTAGCCCAGATGTTGGTACAGCCACTACTATGAGCAGCAGCAGAGGGGCAGATGCAAATGAATAGACTTGTAAAATCCATCTCCGGGAATCAGCTTTGCAAGCCCAAGGCAAATATTTGCTTAGCTTTACAAAGGAGACTGTTATGAAATGCTGTCCGGTGGCCTCAACCAGGGTACTCCACTGTGGCCTGGGCCAAAAGCAATCAGTGCTGGTCTGGCAAGCGACAGTCAAGAGCTGTGTTGTATTGAACATGTCTTTGTATTAGGGCCAACTTAAAGAGTAGCTAAAG